ACGGGACAGGATTTCGAAGCCTGTCAAGAAGTCCTGGCGCGAAAGGCGGCGGCTTTCTGGTTGGAAGGATCCCCGCGCACCACCGTGCGCAACGTCGCCCATGACACCATCCCGACGGGACCGCCGGTGTCGCTGCAGCCTCACCATCTGAAGGGCGAAGCGGCCGCTTGGGTCGATGAACGCCTTGAGGAGGAGTGTCAGCGGGGCCAGTTGGTCCGCGGCACGTCGGCATGGGGTAGCCCTCCGTTTCCAACTCGCGAAGCTCCTGCTCATAAGAGGCACCGGAAAAGAAGACTCGTAGTCGATTACAGGCGAGTGAACTCCAGGGTTTTGCGGAGTACCTACTATTGTAGGAAGTCCTCCGACGTGTTGGCGCAGTGTTCCGGAAGCATCTTTTACAGCTTTGTAGATGCCGTGTCAGGATTTAACCAAATCGCCAACACTCGGCGGGCAATGGAAGTTCTTGCGATCGTGGCTCGCTCGGGGAAATTCCTCCCCATCTGCCTCACGTTCGGACCAATCAATGGACCGGACGACTTTTGTTTTGTTGTCGATCGAGCCTACGGGCCGGGGCGTGGAAGGAAGCTCCGCTATACCCGTGAATGGGTAGCATACGTCGACGACTTGACGATTAGAACAGGCAGGTGCATTGACGGGAGGCTCCTCACCGACGAAGAGCACGATCAGGAAATCAAAGATGCAATGCGTCACACTCCGGTGACAGTAGGGCAGGCGCCGACTGAAGCCATGAGAGCTTTAGGAGTCCGACCAGAAGGGCTCAGCGGACAGAAGTCGAAGCACGACGAAAAAGAGTCCGACCACAACCACCCAACCCGTGAGCGGTTCTTGGAGTTGGTTCACCCGAGAACGCCTGGTGTGGGTATAGTCGGGCGCAACAAGGTGATCTGTAGGTGTAAAGTAGTATGTGGGACCGTTTGGTCTAAGGTGGGCCCACGTGGTACTAAGGCGGTAGGTTCACGGAGGTTTCCGCCGCAGCTGTTTGGCTTTGGACGTCGGAGCGGGCTGAGGAGGTCGCTCGGCGGTTCAACTTATGCAGCTTTGGGGGCTCGTGCGTTGGACCATGAAAGCGCAGAAGCTCTTGCGGGACGGGATTGTGACTCACGACCTGTCCGCGTGACCCAGTCCTGGCTGGCAGCGGGAATAGTTCGCGCTTCGCGGCTCTTCCGCGCCATAGCCGGTAAGAAGGCCAAGGGTAGTAGCCACGGTAGAAGTGGTCAGAAAGGAAGCCACAATGGCAAAGGTTTTAAGTGCAGTCACCCTCGACCGGCGAGAGATGACTCTTCAGAAGAAGACTGGGGTCAGCCTCAAGAATCTGAAAGCGCAACTCGCGCAACAGAAGCGTTTCTGAAAGTCAAAAAGGAGCTGAGACTCCGCGGAAAGAGGAAGCGAGGAGGTACGAGGCACAAACGAAAGACCACCAAGAGGAAGCGAGCCGCGGCGGGGCCTGCGTTTCGCGGGTCTCGCGCGGCGCGGCCAAAAAGGAGTAAGAAGGAGGCTGCTAAACGTGGCAGCCTATGGGCCAGATCGAGGAAGGGCCGTAACAAGGCGGCCCACGCAGCACATGGGAACGGGTGGAGCCAAGTGGCAGGGGTGTTCTGCTGCTTTTTGGCCGTCCCAGCGCTGAGGGAGACGGAAGAGATCGTCGGTGCTGCGTCAGACGCAGTACAAGAAGCCATTTCGAGCACGTCAGACACGATCCAGGAAGTGATCGTTGAGAGTGGCTACCAGTTGAGAGGTGCAGTCGCCGTCTTTGGGATTGCGATCCAAGGGTTGTGCATCTTAGCGGTGTGGTACTTAGGCCACAAGCTAAGGAACTTCTGGTGTCGGTTCTCGCACGGCAACACGGATCCACGCCTGGTGAACTTCGATGGAAATTCATCAGTCTGGGAGGTCAAGGGGTCTAAGGAGGTTCATCGAGTGAGAATCTCTGGAAGTGGATCTGGATGTGCTTGCCGAGCCTTCCTGTCGACCGGAAAGTGTGGTCATCTACGCATTGCCCAGGAGGCTCACAAGAAGCTGGCGGGTACCAGCTCGGTCGAAGGAGGTTCAAGTTCTGCATCTCGAGCAGCAGCTCGCGGAAGGACAGCCATTGGAGCAGGCGCAATGCCTGCCTCTTTTGGGTCAGTGAGTGCAGACTTAGGATTCGGAGGCTGCTTCCAAGGCCTGGTTGACAAAGCTAAGTCCTTGAAGGAGGCCGTGAAGTCAGCCCCACCGACAGTATTGAACAAGGACTCTGCGGCCTATAAAGAGAGAAGGTCGTAAGGGAATCCCTCAGCCTTGACACCGGAGTGGATGAAGGATCCGGCCTTCTAGCCCTGCCCAGTTCTGTCCAAATCAAAGGAAACGAGGACCAAGCGAGGGTCCAATTTCTGAAGGATGGCGAATCCTTTGAGTGGGTTGCCAACGTCTTCAATAGTCTTGGCAGGGGCTGCAAGGCTTACGTCCGAGCATATAGCTTTGACCAACCAGGAGTAGTCGAAGGGCTGAAGGCAGCCTCCACCCGTGGGTGTGACTGCTATTTGGTCTGTGATCGCGCACAGGCGGCAGGCCGCACGAAACAGCAACTCCAGGTTTTGAAAGAATTGAAAAGCAGTGGAGCCAAGGTCCGGTTGACTTCCGGCTTGGGAGTAAATGAGGCGTATCGCAGCGACGGACGCGCTGTGCGCGTAGGCGCCAAACTGCAAGGATTGCATCACGCAAAGAGCATTCTAGTCCACTGCCATCCTGGAGATGAAGTCAAAATTCTAATTGGAAGTTGTAATTTCACAACCTCCTCAAAGGCCAACAGAGAAGCCAGCATCGGCCTCACAACAAAGCAAGGCACGGAGTTGGTCCGTCACTGGGAGTCGGCTTTTGAAGAAGTGTTTGAGAGTGGATCGTCCATCGATCAATTCGAAGCGGATCAGGGCGACTCCAACCGACGCAGAGTCGGTGCTTCGCGATCTACTGCTGAAGTGCAGTAGCAAGGAAGATTGAGGATTCCGGTGTGGTATAGCACCAAGGTCTCATTCTTGCCTAGCGGGTTTTGTTTGCGAATCGCGACATTAGCGCGGGCAGAACTATCCACTCGAATGAGCTGGAATGATGGCAGACGCACCAAACCAGCTGAGGGGCGATTGTGACACATCTTAGTCTAGCTGCGTAGTAGTGTTAGTTCTGCCACGGTTTTCACACATGTTTCACATGCATGTTGTATAGTTGTTTCACTAACTTGTTTTGGCTCAAGCTTAACTAGCTTGATTGGCACGTAGTAGCGAACGCTGCTCACGACCGCAATCCTCGTGAGGGGGGAAAAGCATCTGCGCCGGTTCTGTGTTCTGTACTGGCGTTCCTCACAATATATATATATATATATATGTATATATATATATGTATATATATATGTATATATGTATGTATATATATATATATACATACATATATACATATATATATATGTATATATGTATATATGTATATATGTATATATATGTATATATGTATATATGTATATATGTATATATGTTTATATGTATATATGTATATATGTATATATGTGTATATGTATATGTATATGTATATAGAGTGTATGTACATATAGTGTATGTGTACATATATATATATATACATACAAAATGATAACCACATTCTATATACATAGATACATGAATGTTAACAAATCCGCGATGCCATCAGAACAGATTCCTGTCACATCAATTCACCCAGCGTGCACCCAACAGCAGTAAGGGTTCCAGGGTTCCAGGGTTCCCGTTCCATTCCAGTTTTCAGGCCGACAAAAAACGGCACACCACTCCCGGACCCAGAGATTGAAACCCAACAGGCACTGATATTGAGAATTTGCTTTCACACTCCCAGGATGTCCCATTCTCGATGAAAGATCTCAGCCCTTTGGCTTTGTCCATGGCGTAGTTTTTTCTTCCTGTTTCGTTTGAAGAACAGCGCAAGTTCCTGGCTTCGTGGGTTTTTAAGCCACTGAGTGTGCAGGCTAATGCTACTAATGCTACGCAAATGACGCCCTCCATGGGCTACACAAGATTTTTGCCAATCTGATGCAACACAACACGTTCTTTGGCGTTTTGTTTCATGATGTTGCAATGAAATATCAAAAGTTGACAGCTATGCCGACAAGTTTCAGATTTGGGAAATGTTTGATACTGTGTATGTATATATATATATATATATATGGGTAAATTATAATAATTCGTAGGTCGCTAGGTTGATTCATTTATTTCGAAACTGAAATAAAGTTTAGGTCGCAGGAAATAACAAATTATTTTAGGTCGTTAGGTCGTTGGAAGAGGAATCCTGAATCAAAGCTCGAGTCTCGCCAACTACTGGTTTCTCAAAAATCTCTTGCTGGTGAGAAACCTGCATGGTTTAGGATCGAAATCTCTGGTTGAACCCCTTTGGCCACCGGATTTGGACCTGGGAAGAATCGAGCCTGGCCAGGTTTCTCAAAAACGTCTTTTTTAGATTTTTGGGCCGCTAAAAGTTCAAAAACGACGTTCTTGAGAAAAGTGCACCGGCTCGAGTCCCCGCAAGCACTGCTTCCTCCAAAGTCTCTTTCTGGTGAAAAGCCTGCATGGTTTAGGGTCTGCAACCCCGAAATCTCTGGTTGGACCGATATCATATATATATATAGCATATGAGTATAGGTCTGTCTGCCTGAATGATGATACTTCACCAATCTGAAATATGGTGCACAATTTCGGGTTGCCCCATTGGACACCATATATATATATACATATATACGTATATATATATATATGTATATATATATATGTATATATATATATGTATATATGATATGTATATATGTGTAGTGAACTTCACTCGTTGTTCACCTCGCTGGGTGTGGCTGACTATCCACCATTCAAGTCCACTCGAAGATAAAAAGCACAATCCCGCAGCGTGTTCTACCTGAATCTGAAGACCATAAAATGATATAAAACGGATAGTCAAATTTCTGCAGTTTACTCCTAACATCTAGGCCTTGTGAGCATTTCAGTTTCACCGCCGGAAAGGGAACATGCGTGCTCACTTTTGGCTGCCGCAAATGCCAATCACAGCTCATTTTTTGGTCCAAAATACGGCCAGCCATGTGCTCTTCACTTCTGGAAGACATAGATCGTGTCCTAAGATGTTGGAAACAGCATGGGACCCACGAATGCTGGTCATCTGAAATCCCTGATCCTTGATGTGTCCATGCTCCCAGGAAAGCCTAATTTTGGGGGAAAAGACGTTGGGTTGGTTGCCATGTTGGTCTCTGGAAAAACTTGGAAAAACTCTTCAGCTGGGTATGATCTTCCTCAATCCAAGGTGGAAACAAAGCAAAATCCCTTCCCCCGTTCATTTTTTTCACACCCCCTTAACGAAACCATGGTGGATGTAGGGAATTTCCACATTCCATTGGGACCATTTATGGGGTTAATATTAGGGTGATGGGATTAAGCTACACCCAGTTCTGCTGTCACTGATGCTACATGGACGACCATCCCAGTTCCCTAGGCCCGAAAGGGCACGCCGAGCCTGACGGCCAATTTTAGCATTTGTTAGGCTAGTTTCAACTTTTTGAAGCTTCAAGGTGGTATTTTGGCAGGCTGGAATCTCAAAAGCATTGAGTTTTTAGCTAAAATTGAAGAGTTCGATGCATTACAATTCTCCGGGTCGTTGCTTTTCACCCCCAGACATGCCAAAGAGTCAACAACATCCTGTTGATACACAGGGTATATCTGAACTCTAAAAGTGATCCACCCCTGAATTGTTTTACCTTGCAAGACGTATTTCTCCTCTCCAAGAGGATGCGGTATAACTTCAACAGAACCTTTTCCTGAGGATGACCATTCTTTCAGGCTATTGTCTAGCAGCATGGTATCAATCCTTTCCAATGCAACCCTTTAGTCACATTGTGTTGAGAAGCTTTCACTAGTCATCCTCCAAGTTTTTTGGATTCCAACCCAAAATACAGTGCTTCGGTTCACTTTCCCCATCAAAAATTTGCGTGTTTTTAAGCGGGTATCCCCCAGGAAATGTATCTCCATCTCCCAGCCAAGCCACACAAGAGGAGACAACAAACAGCCCTGGAGCAGCAGCAAGGGCGCCGTGTAAAAAGGCGGAACCTCGAGGGTTTTTTTCTGTGAGAAGGACCTGGTTGGTTGATGGCTTCAACTTGGGATTCAATCATGTTTTACCAAAAAGATTAGATATAACCACCATATCTGAATTAGATATTAGATAGACTTGGGATTATATCATATAACCACCATCACTGAATCCTAATCTGGGTTTTTTCCAAACAATCACCATTCAATGGCTTAAAACTTGGAGGATTTTCCATGGACCGAAGCCCGAAAGTTTGGCACCAAGGTCATCAGCAGTCTGAAAATGTTCGTATCAATCTCGGATCTCAATCTTTGCACAGTTGGAAAATGTTGAAAAATGTTGGAATATAGTTGGAATATAGTTGGAATATGTATGCCAAAACTTAAAAAAACTTCAATTCTACATCGCTCTCCTAACCTTTGACCCAGATCCGTATAGACACTATGTCAATCTTACGCTGCTTTGACAACTTATGTGTATTAGCCATGACCATTTGGTCTATTCATCTATTCCCATCAAGCTCCTGAAATTGTTGCCAAAATTGTTGGCCGCAATGTTGGGTGTCAAGACTAATACATGTCGATATTTACACATTACATATTATTAGTATACTTATATGTATAAAAATCGACATGTACTACATATACATTATATACATATACATATTACATATATATATATTACATATATTTATACTACATATACATATTATTAATACAGACATATACAGACGGTTGGAGGTTGATTTTGTGCCTTTTAGGTCATCCAAACATGACTCATGATGTCATGGGATCCCAGAAAGATGACCGTGAGTCGCTGTCAACCATATGGATCCAAAGAAAAACATCCCTCTTTTGGATGATCCGGTTCTTGGTTCTTGATGGAGCTTAAAACAACGCATCTCGGGTTTGATTCCAATTTTCTATATTCTCTTCGATCCCCATGTTGATGGATGATGGATTTCACTCCCATTTTTCAGATTTTTCTCGGTGAATTTGGTAAAATGAATGCACATGGGCCACATGGGTATGGGTTGCACCCTGGTACACTGGTACCCACTCGTACCCTGGTTTTATCGCCAAAACTAGTTGGTTTCCATGGATGTTCATCCCCCCATTCAATCCATTTATGGAGGCAAATCATATGTCTTGGCCCATGCCCATATTTTCGGGTTCTATGGATGAAATCATATTCTGGGTAAATTATAACATTTCACTAACCTGAATTCTTGGGCCATTTGGAGATGATTTCCCTATAAAACCCATGATTCCAGGGCGAACAGGAGAACAGGCTTCGGTCGTGATGAAATTTACCCAGTCAAGTTACCCTCTGGTAATTTAACGTAGCTATTGAAAATGGCCATTAATAGTGGATTGTCCCATTAAAAATGGTGATTTTCCATAGCTATGTTAATTTACCAGAGGGTAAAAATCCACATGTTTGGTGGGCCTTAGCTTGCCCTATTATTCAAATTTGTGTCCCGATGGTCTTCCATCCTCACGCGGAAAACCATCGGATCTGAGGGGGATCTGTGGCCTTTGAACAAGTTGGTTCTTTTTTTGTGTCGGAAAAAACATCATATGCAAAAAACATATGGAACACGGTTAGTGACTAAATTCCAATGAAATGCTAGTTAATTAGCTAGTTCTTTAGATTGTATCCCATCTAATATTCCATTGAAATGGTTTGTTTATCCAGTGATTTATATATATATATATATATTCAAAAAAAAAACATTGTTGGATGTCAGTGTTTGTTTTATGCTCCCATTTGATGGTTAGATCCAATAAAAGGCCTATTTTTGTCAGTTAAATCCTACGATATCATCATTTTGGGGTATCTCCACCTATCCCCAGCCGGCCAAACCCCCGGGGCCATGTCTCGCGTCCAAGGTGCCAAGGGTCGTGGCCTCCCACAGAAGGCCCTCGCTCACGGACATGTTGGGCGACCGAACACCTGGAAGCGGCTGATAAAACCATGGTTTGAACATGTTCTAATTTGATGAGTCAATACCCACCAGTACCACCTGAAGGGAAGAAAATGCATCTGGCTATTTTAGTGTGGAAAACAAGGTACCAGGCTTTTGCTGCCATGTGAGTTTCAACCAACAAAAGTTGGATTCAAATGGTTCTGCTCTCTGGCAATCTGACGGTAAAATCTTGAATGAAAGTAAATGATTATCCGATGAAGAATTGGTAATTTCCGCCTCCATGATTGGCTTCTGTAGTGTTGCAGGTGTTTTTCATGTTGAACTTGCTGGTTACAAAGAGCATAAAAAACATATAAAAACATATAAAAACATATAAAAACATATAAAAATTAACCCAGCGTTGCAACCCAACAGCATACCTGAATCTTCCACCTACGTCTTTTTTCAGACCCTGTGCCAAAGTCCTGTTTTTTCAGTACCCAGAAAACTTTTCAGAACCTACTCTCAAATTCAGGACCTGGCCATTTTGGGGTATCAATGGTAATGGCAATCATTGGGTGCAAACATGTGAAACCAACATTTGGTGGATATTCAAGCCATTGGCATTGATCCACGCAAATAAAAGCACTCCCAGCCCAAACTCATGGCAAGGCAGGATCAGAATATAGTATATTCCAGAAAGTATGTCAGAATAGATGCCAGATAGGATGCCAGAAAGAAGGTCAAATAGAATCTCAGAAAAGAATGTAAGATAGTATGTCAGAACATATATGCCACATATACGTCCAGATGATATGTCAGAAACTATGTCAGAATAGTGTGTCAGGGTGGGGATCACTCTTAGTAAGGCAATTTTGAAAATATATTTCAGGTTCGGAATTTTCAAACTGTTGTCCTTCAGGCGCCGAAGCTCCCGTTGAAGGTCAGCATCGCCCCATGTCAACTGGTCCAGTCCCACTTCCATTTCAACAAGTCCAACTTCATCGATTAGGGTGTTGGTTGAATGGACTTGGGACTCTAGCTGGCATCCCTTGTAACCCTGTAGACACTGTAGTGGGCAAAAAGATTGTAACACACAGAATCAGCATCATTTTGATCAGGCATTCTTTTTGCTAATCCTTTCTCCCTATTACGAAAAATACCCCCAAATGACAAAAACTAGGTGCGATTTCCAATTTTGGGAAATGTCAAATTGGTTAATCTGATTTTTAATTGATCCCCTTGAGGAAACAATTTTAAAAATGAAGGTACCATGTGAGGGTTTCACCCCCAAAGAATAAAAAACTAGTCAACACCGGGGTGTCTTTTATTGGGGTCCGTCCTTTAAAATCGTCAATTTTAGTTTTTTTAATTCAGGTGTTGGTGTTTTATTTGATACTAGGCGAAAGCTTCGAAATCCTATTCTTGGCAGTATTCTATTTAAAGATTATTTTCATGGATTTTGAAATTAGAAACAAAAAACGGTTTAATCCCTTCCCCCTGTTGCTAAACAGTCGCCCCTTCACCCACCCACCCAAATAACAAACACCTGGAGGAGTTTTTAGTATTGGGGGGTCTTTAGTATTAGGGTACGAAGCTTCCCCCTAATACTGATAAAAAACACACATATATATATATACACATATTTCTATTTCAAAATCGATCAGATTTCTTTCTTTTTAAATCCAATTAAAATATGGCAAACAAGTGGATTCCGAAGCTTAATATCAAATAAAAACCCCCAACATAAAAAACTATGTATGTTTTTCTATTTCGAAATCGATTAGATTTCCTTTTAAAAATTAAATAAAATATGGCCAAAAAATTGGATGTCGAAGCTTTTCCCTTATATTAAACCCTAATATCATTTTGTTTTTTTTCCTGTTTCAAAATCGATTAGATTTCCTTTTGAAATCTAATGAAAAAAACAAAAAATTGATTTTGAAGCTTTCCCCTAATATCAAATTAAAATCCAATTATTAAAATATGTTCAAAAATTGGATTTCGATGCTTCCCCTAATCTTGCATGAAAAATTCCAATATAAAAAACTAATTTGTTCTATTTCAGAATCGATTAGATTTCCTTGTAAATTCAAATTAAGATATTGCCAGAAATTGGATTTCGAAGCTTTCCCCTCATATTAAACCCTCATATCAAAGACTATTTTTTCTATATCAAAATTCATTAGATTTCCTTTTGAAATCTAATTAGAATATGGTCAAAAATTGGATTTTGAAGTTTTCCCCTAATATTACATTAAAAAACCCTAATATAAAATATTATTTTTTCTTTTTTGAAATCGATTCGATTTCCTTTTAAATTGTAGTAACAAAAATAAAAACAAAAACCGGATTTCGAAATGTTTCCTCTAATATTAAATTACCAGCCCTAATATATTTTTAAAAAAAACTGTTTCAAAATCGATTAGTTTTCTGTTTAACATATAATTAAGATATTGCTAAAAATTGGATTTCGAAGTTTTCCCCTAAGATTAAATTAAAAACACTAATAAAAAAAAACTATGTTTTTTCGATTTCAAGAATCGATTAGATTTCCTTTGACATCCAGCAAAAATATTGCCAGGAAATGCCAAAAAGTGGATTTCGAAGTTTTCCCCCAATATTATATAAACGTTGTAATATAAAATACTTATTTTTTCGACCTTAAAAGACCCTAGTTTAAAAATCCGTGGTGAAATCCTGAAATGGGACCTTCATGTTTAATTTGTTTTTGAAAAGGTATCAATTAAAAGTCAAACTGGCCAGCCTGAAATTTCCCAAAATTTAACGCGGACCCTAGTAAAAGGAATCAATGTAATATTTTAGGATTTAGGGTACGTTTAGTGAAAGGAGGTGGGGATTAGTAAGGTTTTCAATTTAATATAAGGGGAAGCTTCGAAATCCAATTTGGCAAGATTTGAGTTAGATTTTGAATAGGAATTCAATCGGTTTTGAAATATAAAGTTCATTTTTTAAAACGAATGTTTTCAATTTAATGTCAGGGGGAAGCTTCGGAATCCAATTTTGGCAATATTTTAGTTAGATGTTATTTAAAAAATGTTTTCCAATTTAGTTTTTTTTAACCAAGGGGGAAGTTTCGCACCCTCATACTAAATACCCACTAAATACAAAAAACTATTCCGTGTGTTCATTATTGGGTGGGGAGGGGCAGACGGTTTATTATGACGCAGGGATTGGTCAGGCATCACTTGCCGGAATTATTGGATTCTTTTGGGATGATTGGTATGATGTTTAGTCAGGCATGGTTCCCTTCAGTCATGCACGATTTTTGCAAAAATCCTATTTAGGCACGACCCCAAAATCCCAGCCCGGCAAATTCCGGCCCGGGCCCGGCAAATTCCGGCCCGCGCCCTGCAAATTCCGGCCCTGCGTTTTTCCAAAATCAGGCAAAACCAGTAAATCAGGTATTAAGTCAGGTGTAGTTACCTTTTAAGTCATTAAGGCTAGTCAGGCATGGTTCCAGTGGGTACCTTTTAATTGTGAAGGCTAGTCAGGCATGGTTCCCTGAATTCAGGGGCATGGGTACCTTTTAATTATGAAGGCTAGTCAGGCATGGGTTCTGTTAAGTCAGGCGTGGGTGGGTACCTCTTAATTATGAAGGCTAGTCAGGCATGGTTCCCTTAAGTCGGGTGTGGTTACGCTTTAAGTCATGAAGGCTAGTCAGGCATGGGTACCTTTTAAGTGATGAAATCTGAATCAGGCGGAGCTCCTATTCTAAATGTGTTAAATCCAATTGTTCAGTGTGGAAAATCGATTTTTTGGCTGGTCTACGGGCAAACCCTGTGTCTTCCAATACCATAGCGTGCTGATGTCGCTTGCCTGCATAATAGTTAAGGCCAAAGCTTAGGTCATCAGTGTGATCCTGAAATGGCGCCACGACCAAGAAGATGACATGTGTAAAATGGGCCCTGGATTAACAAAGGCTGACTAATGAATTTGGAGGATGCCACTAAAGTATGACATGTAATCACTTTTGAGGAGCACTCTATGGCACGCAGCGCGCGCAGCCTGCTTTACGGTTTAGCGTTTGAAAGTTTTAGGCTTTGCCTCTATGGCACGCAGCGTTTGAAAGTTTAACCGTTTACCTCTATGGCAGGCTGTGCGCGCAGTACGCGTTACGGTTTAAAGTTTGAAAGTTTTAGGGTTTATGTGTGTGGCACGCAGTGCGCGCAGCGCGCATGAGGGTTTAGGGTTTGGAAGTTTTATAGTTTATTTTATTGCATGCAGCGTGCACAGCATGGGTTGAACTTTAGGGTTTCGAAGTTTTAGGGTTAACCTCCATGACACGATGGTTTAGGGTTTGGAGATTTTAAGGGGTACTTCTATGGCACACAGCGCGCGCAGCGCGCGTTAGGGTTTAGGGTTTAGGGTTTGGAAATTTTAGGGTTTACCTCTATGACACGAGAGTTTCAGGTTTGAAGATTTTAGGGTTTATTTCTATTGCACAAAGCGCGCGCAGCGCGCAGTAGTGTTTAGGGTTTGAAGGTTTTAGGGTTTATCTCTGGCACGCAGCGCGCGCACCGCGCATTAGGGTTTAGGGTTTGGAAGTTTTAGGGTTTACTTTATTGCATGCAGCGCGCGCAGCGCGCATAGAGTTTAGGGTTTGGAAGTTTTTGGGTTTCAAGGGTTCCAAGGTTCCAGGGTACCAGGGTCCCACGGTTTCAGGGTTCCAAGGTTTCCAGGGTTCCAAGGGTTCCAAGGGTTCCAAGGGTTCCAGGGTTTCAGGGTTCCAGGATCCCAGCAGGGTGCCAGGTGTGCAGGGTTGCAGGGTTCCAAGGTTCCAGGGTTCCAAGGTAGCAGGGTTCCAGAATCCTTGAGGGTTCCAGGGTGCCAAGGTTCCAAGGTTTCAGGGTTCCACGGTCGCAGGGTTCCAAGGTTCCAGGGTTTCAGGGTTCCAGGGTTCCGGGGTTCCAGGGTTCCAGGGTTCCGGGTTCCAGGGTTCCAGGGTTCCAGGGTTCCAGGGTTCCGGGGTTCCAAGGTTTCAGGGTTCCAGGGTTCCAGGGTTCCAGGGTTCCGGATTTTGAAGAAGGCTGCAAGTCCCCGCGAGCCAGCCCCAGCCCTAGAGATTGAAACCCAACAGGCCCTGCTGTTGGGAATATATAAAAACATATAAAAGCATATAAAAACTACAACGTTTTAATAAAATCATTCAAAACTGGCTGAATCAAACATTCAGATGCGACTCAGACGACTGCAGTATTTCCATCCTCCAACTCTCCAACTCAACCATCGCTGGTGCTGAAAAACCCTTGGACGCCCCTTCACTCCCTTGAGAAATTGGGAAAAAAGACGGAAAAAAGTGGTCCCATGTTGGATCGTTTCTTTTTGACTGTAGTTACTGTAGTCACTGATGTATTCCTACATTCATATCATTCATAACTTGAACCAACTTTAGTTCCAATTTCTATTGGTTTATCTCCTCATCTTTGAAATTTCTGCTGGCTTTTTCCCAATCCGAGTACTTGCCCAGCCCTGTTTGTTCTGTGACGTCCGTCACATCCGCACCGCAACATTTTCAGGGGATATCCACCAGCGATTCCCCTAATGATGACAGTCCTCATCAATATCTTGGGCTCTCATGGTATTGAGCCGGTATAACCCTCAAAGTATCAGCAAAGAGGGGTAGATTCGGGTAGATCGCACTGTTCATCATCTCCCAATGCAAATTGCTGGTGAGTTCCCATGATTTTGTTGGTTAAATCATATCAAATCCTTGGTGAAAGCCCCAGTCTTGCCAAGTCAAATCCAGTTTGCCGACATATCCGACATCTCCCAGCCCCGAACCTTTGTATCCTGGCCGGGCAAAAAACAGGGACGGGCAAGACGGTCCCCCAATTTTTTTGTGCGACGCAAAAAGTCATGTCATACATATGGTGTAATCCAATCCATTATTATAGTTAATGGATAATTAACCATTATGGGAACTATAATCCATTAACCATTAATTAACCATGGATTATTAACCACTATTAACCATATGTACTCAGCTGGGACGATAGTACGCGATTTCAAAGCAAAAGAGGGCTTGGACATGTGCACGTCACGAGGCACCCAGCCATGAGATTGGCCCCTTCGGCTGGACTGGTTACAGCAACCCAACGAGTGTCATATTCCAATGCCTTCAGGTTTCAGGAACATTCTCAGAAAATGACTGAGAAAACACCAGCAAAAAAAAGAACACATTCGTTAACAATCCCGAACCGGAAATCCACCACATTGTTGCACCCAGCCGCCAGACCATTCGGTGCAATAAAAACCTCCAGTATGACACCTTTGTGGAGTCTACTAAGTCTACTAGTTGCGACCTCGAGAATTGCGTTCAGCTTCTTCAGTTTCCTGTCAGATGGTCTTCTCTTTGTCACGTGGTTTTGCCTCATTGAGTCTCCTCAAGAAAGGCAATTAATAATATATCTTGGTGTGCAACCCAGTGACACACCAAGAAAAAAAACCTGTTGAAATACATCGCATGAATCATGAAAACATCTCCGCAATAAGTCTTGTTTTTTGGCGATAAGTTGAAAGATGTTGAAGGTGAAATCCCCGTCGCGCCAGTTGAAAAAACTGCCTGCATCAGGCCCGAAGACGCGGTAGAGCTTGCCATCGGAGCGTCCCACCAAGACCATGCCATTGCCTCGTGAAGAGAAAAAAACCGAAGGAGTTTCCACACAAAACGAGTGGACCAAAAAACAAAAAAAAAACAAAAAAAACCTAAAACATCCTAAAACATCCTAAAACACGGTTTTTGTCACTGTTTTCCGAGTAGACTGAGTAGATCTACACAAAAATTGTCATATGCATTCATATGTATTCATATACTGCAATTTTGATGTATACAACTGCAATTGGATGTTTTTTGTTGTCGCAATTCGCTTCGGAACTGGTCGCATGATGCATCCCCTGTTGACCATCCCGCTGCTAGAACTAGTGGCGCCATGGGTGCCATATTTCACAGCACATCTTCAGCTGGCTATTTCAATGGCGAACAGAAAATTTCCCATCCGGAAAAAAATCCGTGAAATAGTGTGAGTAAAGCCATTAAAGGAATTTAAAGGACCCACACTAACCCCCAATGACCAGCAAAATTCTCATGGGTCCGAGAAAAACCATCAATCCATACGGGTGGCCATCGATCATAGGAGCGCTCCAATGCGAAGGCCAGCAAATGGGTTGGATGCCGTCCTGGTGAGTGAAACATCGAGACACCAGCAAACCCACATTCAACATAGAGTGCTTGAAACTAGCCCGTGAAAGTCTATTCTATGTGTACATATGTTTGTACATACATATTATATATATATATACATATATCTGTATCCATCTCTATCAATCTATCTATCCATCTATCTATCTATCTATCTATCTATCTATATATATATATTATATTATATATATATATTATGTATATTTGTATATTATATACATGTCTACACCTATATACACATATCTTCCTTAAATATCTTAATGATGTCCATGGCTCGATTTGATAAGAACGCAATGACAGGGACCGTAGCATGAGTCCTGCAGGCGAGTGCCAAGGCCTGCAACATCCCCTTCGGGCATGTTCAGTGGCACATCAAGGGGCTTCACCTTGATACCTCGGGAGAGTCATCCCAGTCATCCCAGTCATCCCATGGTGAAGGGAACAGGCCTGGTGCCGACACATCAAGGGATGGAAAAGCTACCGACACGAAGACTTCGCCTGGATTTTGGTTGAAAACGCGAAAAAAAAACATACGAATCGAAGCAGAAATCAACATCCGTCAATTCAAACAGGACAAGGAGGGCGTGATTCATTGAACCTATGTACGGTTGCTGAATACGGCGCGGTCCCATTGGTAAAAGCATTCACCACAGTTGTCAACCCCTTCTTGTTGTTGTTTCACACATGTCATTGCTGATTAAGTCCCTGTTGCTCTCCGGCAATTTACCCTGGTTGGCTTAAAAATGACAGATTTGTGGATAAAACTGCTATCCCAACCTACATTCTTCACCTTTTCTCCATGTTCCATGTCACATTACCTCAGGATCCAAAGGGTAGGCAGCAACCAACCGGATTATCCCTGAAGACCCCGACGTCGAGGCCATGTGAAACTAGTGCCTCGTTTTTTTCCGTAAGAAACGCGGTTTCTAAATGGGTGGCATAACTGTCTGTTTTTGAATGGACCAATAGTGGCTACAGTAGCAATGAACATATATATATATACACATATAAACCCATGATTGGTAGCTACTGGTCATATACCCATTGCATATGGTTCCCTGAATTGTTCTCAATATTGATTAAGTCCCACTACGGGTAAACTCCCCAATGGTTGTTGAACCTATCATAAGAACCAACCATGCACCAATTGGTTTCATTGTACATATTCGTTATTCTTGCCTATATAATAATTTCATGTACATATTGCCAAGAAAAAATAGTTTTGCATTGTACAACATGATGTGACAGTGTGTAACATTGTGTAATGGGATATAGCATATTATATAACATTACATAGCAGTGGACAACATTAATGGGGCTACATTTGATACCGCCATAATACCGTTCGTATTATAGTTTATTGTTTATGTGAAATTTTATACCCATTGCGCGCGTATTTACCTATCGGCTGCTGGTTCTGTACCACTGTTTATCATCTTACCATTATACTGGTATCATAACAGTGGTAACGTTGAAAACAACATTGACGTTAATAAAATTGATTGCGTCGAAAACGCGAGTCACGCTTTCAGTATAACATAAATAACACTAACAACATAACATCAGTAATACTAGAAACATCTAAACACATTAATCAGATTAGCAGCATGAATAAAAGGAACAACGTCAATAGCACACTCATCCCATCTCCTGGTATTGTCATGGTTAGTAGTGGAAATTCATGGTCAACAATGGTTAATAATGGGATTATGAAAAATGGTGCCATCTAGTTTGATATTTGAAACGTGATCCAATTGTATCAACCATTCATATGAAATTTATTTCAATGTTTATATACCATCCATATTGCAATTGATCCAATGAATATAGCCTAAGGTTTATTATGTATTGTAATGATTAACCACTGAAGCAATGTGGTATAATGGTGATCAAATTAAAAGAAAAACATTGGGAAATCCATGGTTATATGATCATTAATCATCTCCAGTATATCAATAGTGGCCATGATATCCCAATTAATTGATATCCAATAAACAAAAAAGATAGTAATAATGGGACAAATATGATCATCATTATAACATAGATCAATAAAACCATTGGAATATAATCGATGTGAAATAAAAATGATCAAAAATATAAATATAATAATGTTCAATAATAATACTTAAATCATTATGATAATGATCCCATCCTCCAGTCATGGCCTAAGTTACTCCACTTTTTCGAACCCGTGAAGGCATCGAGGCTCAGGATCTCACCCTGCTCTTTTTGACGAGGGATCATCAAGGAGCCTGGCCACAACGGCCAAAACGGCCACAACGCTGATCTCTCAGAATTGGTCCAGATTTTCCGTCAAAAATATGGCGAAAAATACAGATCAATCATGGTGATTTGACTATGCAATATATATATATCATTATATATCAATATATATCAATATATGGGGATTTGCGTATCAGTACTCTTGAAATATGTTGGTGGTTGGATTGATATGGGAAATTTCAGAGTTGAAACACCCTGGTTTTCACCACCAAGATTTTGGGGGAAACTGCAGCAACAATCAATGGGCATCTCACCGTTACCAAAATGTGGCCGAGACAACCAGCCTTCATAGATGGCTTGGGCACCAATCTTAAAACATGGGGTGCTGGCAGAAGGTATGATAGCAGATGGCAGATCTTTCAGATCATGATGAACATGCTTCGTGAATGCATGTCCATATCGGTGTTGGACCATGCAGATTGGGATGACACCCCGCAAGAACAGATAGACATTAGGAACAGTCCCTTTCGAAAAGTTATTTGCTATCGCTTCGGATGTGTGTTGGTGGAGTCCTGTGGGAAGTGGTTGAACCCCAGATCTCATTCTTGTAGAGAACCACGATATCTTAATTTTTGTTGTTGGTTTACCTCATTTGCTGGCGATGTCCCCACATACTGCCTGACTTTGTCTTTGAGCTCGTTGCCCATCTACTTATACACTTCTTACTTCTTACTTGCTGAAGTCATATGCAGGTTGGTTTGTTGATTGCATCCAACTCTTGCCTCAACAAATTCCCACAGTTGGCTCCTACCCCTCCTAACCCGTTTGTTGCCTGTCGTTTGCAGCTGCAATGAGGTCTTGTGAGCACCCGGTAACCCCACTTGACCTATCAATCAGTTGTTACTTTGTTACTGTGTATCCTCAAGATGATATACAAGTAAGTCAAAAGTATAGATGGTATAGTTCCCTTATGTCAAATGGTTAAGTATCGTTTGACATCCCTAAATGACCTCAAACTGTTGATAGTTCCGTTGGCCAACAGGCATGCCTGCGCGGGACCCTAGTATCCTTCGTTTCACATCGGCAGGCCGGAATGGTCGTAATACTTTAATGTTTTCATAACAAGACAATTTGGGGGTAACTAGGTCCACGGCCCACAGCAGACCGTGATACGACATGACATTTCTCATATTCCAAAGACCTTGAATGTCCGCAATTGCATTGGGCAGGAATCTCGCAACATTAGCAAGGGTTGAAACTCATAATTACAGTGGTTGAATTTCTCATGCGCAGTTCCAAGTTTAATTTGCTTCTCCAACTATTAGTATTCTGGGGCTTTATGAATTCTGTTCAGAAGTAAATCTTTGGGGAGGAGGTCTGTCTGGTGTTTGGACCATAGGAAATGAGACGTTCATCTGCTTTCAGCTGCACTGTGCCCAAAGCTGTTTGTTTTCATTCTTCGTGTTTCAAAGTCACTTTGCTTTTAGCGATCTCTTCAATGCTGAATAGAACTCGTTTGGAGTTGCTGGCAGATCAGCAAACGCTGGGTCAGGCACTCTGTGGCCTTCCACCTTCAAACTGACCTGGAATTTGAATCCCAGGAATCGTTTCAATACCAACCATATAGCCATAGTGGAGCCGTAGCGGCTGTAGCGTAGCATCAACTTCAAGACGCAAGTGCAAGGAATATTGACACACCTGCCCACTGCCAGCGTGCTATCTGCAGCATCATCTCCATAAAAGCAAGAACGGACTAAAACCCTCGGGCTGTTCCGGGCGGTGGGCCAACTATTTGGTATTGACCCATACCCAAACCGTCGCGAGGGTGAAGAAACATCCATAAACTACGAGCGATTACAACAGTCACATAGTCGACCATCAGTTATCCCATTTATATACCCTCTGGTTATTCAACATAGCCATGGAAAATAGCCCATTTATAGATGATTTTCCCGTTAAAACCTCCATTTATAAGGGATTTTCCATGGCTATGTTAAATAACCAGATGATATGGGTCACAGTTGTGACCCCAGTTACTAACCGTGATTCGTGGGGTGATCCTCCAAGTATCAGATCCGTCGGGTTTCGTGTAAACCGCACCTGGCGTGACAACGAGGCTCAAACCATCGATGCCAGTAGTTGTCCCCACGGCGGGGTAGTTGTTGCATGGAAAGTTTGTCCTGGAATGTCAACATTGTCAACCTACCTGGAGGATCCCATTTAGTGGTTAGTAAGTGGGCACAAAAAACGCTATAACTTCGCATAGGGACAACCCCCCAGATGGGGACTTGGGGACTTACTAACCAGGCTTGTTAACCACTTACTGTGTGGATGATCTTCCAAGTAGAAAAAGATCTTTTTTGGCCAATTTTGGCGGGGATGAGTTTCTACGAAAACGGGAATGCTGCCCCAACAAATTTTGCTGCCCCATAGTGATGACAAGACTAAGATGGGAACGTGTTTTAAGAACGAACCAAAGACCAAGATCCTAGTGAAATTTCACGGAATACCTGAGAATCATTTAATATCATCTCATCATCCGAATAAACATTGGGTTTTTTCCCTGAATCATTGGTCCTGAATTTCACCCATTTGGGCATGTTGTCAGCATGTTTTCCTTCACCACAAGTGTTGGGGGTTTGAAGTCACCAGGTTGCAACAAGATCCTAGCGAGTTGCCATGATGGCTGACCCAAGATTATTTTTGGTCAAATCTGGTACAGGAAAATCCCCAATTTATAGATTGATATAAACTATAGATGATTTATAGCAGATGTTCTTATTAAAACCTCCATCTGCATCGGATGATTTTCTCATGACCTCTATTTAGTTCAGGGATTTCCCTCGCCAAGCGTCGAGGTCGACCATACTTCCTCAGGCGAAAGTCACTTTTTCGTTAGGCACACATCCAAAAGATTTGTGTCTCCAAGAAAGGATACAGGATGATACAGGGTTGCTCCAACACCGGAGAAACTGGGTAGACAAAGAGGTAAAATGGCTAGTTTCCCCCCCTTCTGTCGATCATTTACAAATGGATTGGAGCAATTGTGGGGAAGCAACAAGATATGCGAAGCATCAACCAGCTATTTACTGAAAGAACGACTATGCTTCCGATCGGGCGAGAAAAGCCCTCCGACAAACATGTCAAACCCATTTCGAACTGGAACTTGGCTTCGTTAGATACGAATGGTATCCCATGGTGGTGACAATCCCACCTAGCAATTTGAAAGAAGGGCCAAGGAATAAGGAAGTCTTCCTGACGGTTAGCATACTAATTTGACTCATCAGGATGATCATTGAGTCGTTGCAGTGCAGCACGGCTAAATCAGCGGATGTAAGGAAATCGGAACTTCCTCAATTTCATCATTCTTCGTCATGAGGAAATAAAACCATCAATCGCCCCAACCAGTTGGTCCAACTCGCCCCAGAAATATCAGTCACCTTGAATAGTTTGATTATATGGCTTCGCAATTCTCAGGGATTGAGGCAACAACCTGTTTGAAAACCACGAGGCACTTCATTGGTAAACCCGGATTGATCAATTATGGGGGGTTCCAGGGTTGCCCCAAATAGTGATGTCGTCTACTAAAATGGTAGCCTCCCGATTAGAAACAACCCAGGGGGTTATTGATCAAAGGGGTGACATGCATCCATTGAGGTAATGAACTTCACTGCTTCTTACATCTTCTTACCTCATTCGGAATCCACTCGAAGGAATGGTTTTTTAACCACCATTCAGTGGGAGATTTTCCGGTGCCATGATGAATGCTGGACCAATCCTTGCTTCAGCAGCTTCCGAAGCATACTGTGGATTGGTTCCACTGATTGATTGAGCTGTTCCCATTTTATGGGCCGATGCTTAACCTATGGTAACGATCATCATTTCTTGGTTCTCTCCCGGTTTTTGCAGACCTCATTCCAATATTTTTGTTGGATCGTTGTTGATTGCCACATTCACGAGAAATCCCACCAGGCCCCAAAACCCAAGGTTCTGTACCGTTGGACTGGTAAAAAGCTCGCACAATGCCTGTGGTCCTCAGAAACTCGCAGCTCAAATTACGGTGGGAAACGCGAGGCCATGAGGACCCAGGAAACGCGACGCCATTCTGCGCAACCTCCTTATGTGGCCATAAACCAATGGCATAAAAGAAACATCAAAAACCAATGATATCAATGATAAAGGAAGGAACGACATTCCGAACAGTATCCGAAACCGCACGTGTCCGAGTCCCAATAAGAACCTCTATTGCAGGGCCATGACAGCCATCACTGAGGATTGAGGATATGGCACTGGGTGGCTTCACCCATCAAGCAGCACAAGCAGTTCTGCTATGGCCTACCCTGGTAGCTGACCTAGCTGACCAGACCATTTCCAAGGAGCCCCTTTTCAAAGCTATGGAGGTTTCCTAAGTCATGGGGGTACCCTGGTAGAAATTCCATGGAAACTCTCAGCCCTTCCGAGTCATCTCCGAGTCATCCAGGTTGCCCTTCATCGCCACGGTAGGCCAAAGGATTTGAGCACGTGTAGACCATCCCATTGGGGCCTCCAACCACCAGAATAAGATCGTGGAAATTCATGGTGCAGGAAACATAGAAGGCTGTGTGTATTAGTATTGGTTGAAATGAAAAAAATAGGAATTCCGGTCGTAGTTGAGATATAAAGGGTTGAATACGCAAAATGACCTTACTGGCCCCTGGTCGGGGCATGGATGTTTTCATCCTTCCGAGAGCTGAACAGCTCATCTTACCCTGTCGCAGCCTGTTCCCTTGGGTGAGACAATGACGATCCTTCATAAGTGCACGAAGCTCTTTTTTTTGTACTCAGAATCTGGAGAATCACACATCTATTTGGAGGTTTGCTAAAATGGTTGTACCCACAGTCATCCATTTTAATACGATGTTCCATTACATCCCATCCCCATGTCTATGGCCAACAGCCGAGCCTAAGGCAGCGCCACCATCCCCAAAGGAGCCTCAAGCGGAGCCGCTTTCTCTGCGTAGCTTCCCAGAATGCTGCTAGAATACAGTGAATAGAATACTTCTGCACTAAATTGGACACTTTTTGACCCAACTGGGGATGTTGAATTTTAACGTTTTGAGTCAGGGAAACAAGGGGCGTTTGCCGCTGCGAATCCATGTCCGAACCTTTGGAATTCTACGTGAGGCTTGATGTCATTTCATTGCTTCAGTTGGGCCATGATGAATACACCATTTTCCCATCCCAAGAAATGCGTTACTAAATATGCCTGTTATGAGTTAGGTCATCATCCCCAATAAACCAGCAAAACCCCCAAACTATTAACAGATCAGAGGTATAACTTGGCTCAGTTGCGATTTTCTCCGGAGGCGGTCATACCAATGCCTCGAGAGTCATGGTGCAAGTTCTTCCAAAGCTCTTTACCTGTGGAAGTGAGCCACCGGGAAGGAGTAACCCGAGTAAACAGGTCAACTGTTTACGAAGGAATGAAATAAGCTTCGGTGGTATCCCCAACAGCGGCAACATTTTCTTGCTGCGAAGCCAAGCGCTCTTCGGAACCCTGTTGAACCTGACCTGGCTCTGCACCAAAGCCTTCCGGACCTTCACCGGAACCTTCTCCGGAACCCTGTTGAATCTGACCTGGCTCTGCACCAAAGCCTCCCAGACCTTCTCCAGAACCTTCTCCGGAACCTTCTCCGGAACCTTGTTGAGCCTGACCTGGCTCCCTGCACCAAAGCCCGCGATCTCCGGAACCTTCTCCGGAACCTTCGCCGGAACCAAGTTGAACCTGACTTGGCTTTGCCACAAGGCTTCCTGGAACCTTCTCCGGAACCTTCTCCGGAACCCTGCTGAACCTAGCTGACCTGGCTCTGCACCAAAGCCTCCCAGACCTTCACCGGTTCTCGGGAACCTTGTTGAACCCAAACCTTGTTGAACCTGACCTGGCTCTGCACCAAAGCCTCCCAGACCTTCTCCGGAACCTTCTCCGGAGCCCTGTTGAACCTGACCTGCCTCTGCACCAAAGCCTCCGCGACCTTCTCCGGAACCTTCCTCCGAACCTTCTCCGGAACCTTCTCCGGAACCCTGTTGAACCTGAACTGGCTCCGCACCAAAGCCTCCCAGACCTTCACCCGAGGAACCTTGTTGAACTACCAAAGCCTCCGCGACACCTTTCATCGCCGGCTGCAGCCACTTGACACGGAAAAACACAAGGTTTCGTGCTCCGGCTTCCTCCCAAAACAAAGCCCATGCAACATTCATGCAGCCATTCCAATGCGATCTGCAACCACAGCTTCAAGAAACGCATACAACTACGCACACAGGAACAACCATTGTTGCAAAACACATACAAGGAACCAAACGACCGCAGCCGCAACCGCCGCACACCCGAGGTACCTTGCATCGCCGGCTGCAGCCACTTTACACGGAAAAACACAAGGTTTCGTGCTCCGGCTTCCTCCCCACAACACACAGCATGCAACATTCATGCACCCATTCCAATGCGATCCGCAACCACAGCTTCAAGAAACCCAAAGAACTACGCACACAGGAACAACCATTGTTGCAAAACACATAGAAGGAACCAAACGACCGCAGCCGCAACCGCCGCACACACGAGGTACCTTTCATCGCTGGCTGCAGCGACTTTACACGGAAAAACACAAGGTTTCGTGCTCCGGCTTCCTCCCCAAAACAAAGCCCATGCAACATTCATGCAGCCATTCCAATGCGATCTGCAACCACAGCTTCAAGAAACGCATAGAACTACGCACACAGGAACAACATGGAACAACCATTGTTGCAAAACACATAGAAGGAACCAAACGACCGCAGCCGCAACCGCCGCACACACGAGGTACCTTTCATCGCCGGCTGCAGCCACTTGACACGGAAAACACAAGGTTTCGTGCTCCGGCTTCCTCCCCAAAACATAGCCCATGCAACATTCATGCAGCCGTTCCAATGCGATCCGCAACCACAGCTTCAAGAAACGCATAGAATTACACACAGGAACCACCATTGTTGCAAAACACATAGAAGGAACCAAACGACCGCAGCCGCAACCGCCGCACACACGAGGTACCTTTCATCGCCGGCTGCAGCCACTTTACACGGAAAAACACAAGGTTTCGTGCTCCGGCTTCCTCCCCAACTCACCACTTGCCTTCGTCACCGCTTCCCTTCCTCACCCTTTCCCTTCCTCACCACCCCCTTCATCATCACTTCCCTTCTTCACCACTTCCCTTCCTCACCACTTCCCATCGTCACCCCTTCCCTTCCTCACCACTTCCCTTCCTCACCACTCCCCTTCATCATCACGTCCCTTCTTCACCACTTCCCTTCCTCACCACTTCCCTTCTTCACCACTTCCCTTCCTCACCACTTCCCATCGTCACCACTTCCCATCGTCACCACTTCCCATCGTCACCACGTCCCTTCATCACCACCCCCTCATTGTCAGCAAGGTCAATTCCACCGCTTCTTATTCTTTTGTTATGTATTGATGTGTTATCCGGCTGCAGCGACTTTACACGGAAAAACACAAGGTTTCGTGCTCCGGCTTCCTCCCCAAAACATAGCCCATGCAACATTCATGCAGCCATTCCAATGCGATCTGCAACCACAGCTTCAAGAAACGCATAGAACTACACACAAGAACCACCATTGTTGCAAAACACATGGAAGGAACCAAACGACCGCAGCCGCAACCGCCGCACACATGAGGTACCTTTCATCGCCGGCTGCAGCCACTTTACACGGAAAAACACAAGGTTTCGTGCTCCGGCTTCCTCCCCAACTCACCACTTGCCTTCGTCACCGCTTCCCTTCCTCACCACTCCCCTTCATCATCACTTCCCTTCTTCACCACTTCCCTTCCTCACCACTTCCCATCGTCACCACTTCCCTTCCTCCCATCGTCACCACTTCCCATCGTCACCACGTCCCTTCATCACCACCCCCTCATTGTCAGCAAGGTCAATTCCACCGCTTCTTATTCTTTTGTTATGTATTGATGTGTTATCCGGCTGCAGCGACTTTACACGGAAAACACAAGGTTTCGTGCTCCGGCTTCCTCCCCAAAACATAGCCCATGCAACATTCATGCAGCCATTCCAATGCGATCTGCAACCACAGCTTCAAGAAACGCATAGAACTACACACAGGAACCACCATTGTTGCAAAACACATAGAAGGAACCAAACGACCGCAGCCGCAACCGCTTCTTCGGAACCTTCCCCCGAACCTTCTCCGGAACCTTCTCCGGAACCCGGGTTGAACCTGACCTGGCTCTGCACCAAAGCCTCCCAGACCTTCACCGGTTCTCGGGAACCTTGTTGAACCCTGTTGAACCTGACCTGGCTCTGCACCAAAGCCTCCCAGACCTTCACCGGAACGTTCTCCGGAACCTTGTTGAACCTGACCTGGCTCTGCACCAAAGCCTCCCAGACCGTCTCCGGAACCTTCGGAATCTTCTCCGGAACCTCGTTGAACCTGACCAGGCGCCTGCACCAGCGCACACCGGAGCTATTCTGGGCTGAAGACCCCATTTGCTTACGCTGTTGGCGAACAAAGTTTCCAGTGTTTCCCAATTGAGTTTGCCTCAAAATACCCCCATGTGCATATGATCATCATTATTATCCAATTGCCATTTGAATAGGGAACAAAAAATGAAAAAAAAAAAAACTCAAACCCAACTGGAACCCAGAAAACAAAAAAATGGACGCGCTGGAACCTGTGTGGAGATCCAATTTGTAGATACCCCCAGCGAAGTCCATGAAGAGTGTTGTACCATCACCTTGAAGTTTCTTGGACCATGTCGGTGATGGTGAAGGGAACTTTTGGAAGTGAAAAAAAGTGGTTCCAACAAGAAGATGCTTTTCCCTATTTCAATTGGTATTGTTCCCTATTTCAATGGTTCCAATGTCACATTAGTATTTTTCCCTATTTCAATGGTTCCAATGTCACATTGGTATTATTCCCTACTTCAATTCAGCAACCAATACTTTCGGGGTGTTGGGACTATTGGAGAAATGTGTAGTTTCAACAAAAGACTACCGGATCTAGCTAGAAAAATTGGTTCTGTGTAGGGTTTACAACGCAATTTTCAAAGGAGTGGGGCAGGGTTCTCGTGGACCTCTTAGTAGCGCTCACTCGGGATGGGTCTCTCACTCCAAAACCCACCTGCAATACTTACAGTGTCCTTCCAGTGCAGTTAAGAAATTGTTGACAAACCACATTTCCCTCAGTTCACACCATACGTGCATCATCGTAAATACATAATAATCACATATATATATATACAGTATATACACGCATAACCAGGCACGATTATTGTCCACTTGCTAATATCAGGGTACCGTTAGGGTGAAACCCTTCATGTTAGCAAGCAAAAAAAAAGTTGCTAATGACCCCCAAGGCAAAAAATGCCCATTGTTGGGGGATAACCCGGGGTATTACCAACGGGAAGTTTCAAACTAAGCAAACATTGTGATGTTTACAAACACTATAGGGAATTCCACCAAATAAAATAAGGCTGATCCCAACTAGGATCTCTAGGGATTATATAAGCAAAAATTGGTTCTCTAGCACAGATTCGGCAACGATAGAATCTCACAGTCAAAACCCCGGGAAACGTGAAGACTGCTCAAGGGCACCATGCAAATCATGAAACCAGAAACCAATCTCACATGTTGGCTAGGCATGAACTATTCTCCCACGCCTTGTTGCTAAAGATTGATCCATCACCTAGCGGACTAGTAAACCTACTCCAGACCAACGACCCGATGGTATCTCACCCAGGTGGACCCCAACCATATCGTATCAGTCGGAGAAACAAAGTTAAGTTGTACTCCCATTTGTGTTGTCATCAACTCATCGTTGGCGAACATACAATCGTTTGTCTGAAAAGAACATCAACCCATCGTTTGTCTAAGAAAATGGTTATCAAATTTCTCTGAAAATGATGATAAACAATGGGATTTTGGGCTACTCTACTTTCAGACGTGCACCCATATTCTCCTGAAATCTCTGCGCCCAGGTGGTTTGGATGTCACCAAGACACCCGGGAAGAGGGGAAGGAGGTTCCACGTCTCAGAGCGGTTCACCCAACTGGTGGTGCTAACCCCCAACTGGCAAAATAGAATGCTAATTTTGATTATCATCCAACATAGGATGGAAAATCTAAACCATATTGCCATATTTGAAACCACAAACCAGCATTGGTTGATCATCATTTTCCCTATTAAAAGTACCATTGTTTGGGTATACACCATATATTGTATGACACCATGTTGCTGAAAGATTGAGAAAAAGTTATCGAAACGACCTTAATAAAATGGGTGACCAGGTGCTGACCCAAAAATATCCAAAAATGGGGTACCACATGGTACCACAAAATCAATCAAATGGTTTCCTACCAAACAGAACTTAGAGGTTTCTTCCGAGAAGTTAACAAATTGACTCGGAACTATCTATTACATCTATATATATATACATATATGTATGTGTATATATTTACACATGTTGGAGTATCAAAATCGTGTTTTGCCATCATGTGGGTAGTTGAGCAGCTCACCTCCAAGGTTACTCCTTAGCTGGACCTATTCATTGAAGGATGGAAAGTACTGAAACTACTAGCAAGTGGTATTTTCATCTACTGTAACCAATTTCATTGGATGACTCTGAGTGATATCCCACTATCCACTACATTTTGCGCAGTGCAAATCTTCCAAACTGATAGATATGGTTGTGGCGACCCAAAATTGTTTATTCCAAATTTGGCCATGTTGACCATTGACCATCCACAATCTTATATCTACCGGTGTATCTATCATCATTTATCCCTCGGATTGACGAATATGAGTAAAAATGGCATCATCCACAGCTGGTGTGGCGTGTTGAGCTCATCTTAGTAGCCTTTGTCAATTGGCGAACACTGGCCCTTCTAAGTTGCACTGCTGAAATCATTATCCGACATGGCCATCAACTTCTATGAGATGAATCAGGCTCTTCTGTACCTTGTTGATTTGGGTCCCACGCCCCACATCGCCCACGTCGCCACTTCCGCAAGCCAGGGAACCGGCATGTCAGGACGATATTGCCAAAGTTTCTCCCCACTGTTCCTGTTGGGTGATCCACTGGATCGCTGGTCAATCATTGTGACGCTCGTGACGCTCGTGCCGTTGCCGTTGCCGTTGCCAAAAAGATATACCATGAAAATCAATAGAAAAAAATCGTGAGAACAAACAAGAAAAAAATCATGAGAAAATCCATGAAAAACAAAAAACCATGAAAAACATGAAAATCAATGATCTTTGAATGGCCCAATCCATTCCGATCCCCGTTTTGGTAGGACGTCCTTAGCCGTTCCCTTCATCATCTGCCAAGCATCGCGTCGAGGCCAAAGATCTGACTGTTGCCATCAGCTGGATCTAAGTGGGCTCTCTCTCCGCCCACCACAAGAACCTGGTTTTTGTGCAGCAGGGTCTGTTCCCGAATCTGATCATAAAAAGATTGGAAAGCATATATATATATATATATACGTACACATAAATACATTTACATATACATATATATATATATACAGTAAAGACTCGAAAGCAAAATGGGGACGCAACCAAGAAAAAGCAGGATGCGAATCAACCAAAAAGATCCAAAAAGTAGGTACGGAACATGCAAAAATAGAAAGATAAACGCAAAATGATGATGCTTGACTTGACCTCTTTTGGGGGTAGTTCAGGCGGCTTGAAAGCGGGATTTTTGTGTGGTGGATTATCTAAATTCTAGTGATACCAAATGGCTGCAGAATCCTTACATTACATGGATGTATGCATATAATATGTATATACAAATGTATGTGTTCAGGTAAAAAGGGGTTGGGTTTTGAAACTGTAGATAGACCACATTCATCAACAAACCTACGGATAATGAGCCAGGCTAGTGGGAAACATGCACCAACAATCACACGAAGATGGACAACAATCGGGACAGAACCACATTATCAAGATATTCTGAGTAACAGTTGTAGCCTGAATATGTGGCACATTGGTAGGTTCGAAACTTGGGATACCAGAGAGTTTATCAAGAGACTGCCCAGCAAATGTTTGCTTGTTGAAATACCTTCCAGTAATCAACGAGGCAATTCAAAATCCATCATTTACAGATACTTGTCCCATTTTAACCTCCATTTGGTTTGGGGATTTTCCAGCCACGTTTGATTACCAGAGAGTACCAACAATCATTTTTTTGACGTGACCAGCGGTGACCTTGGAAAATTCAGATCGACATCCAATGGATGGAAGATTGAACATTTTCAAAGCAACCAGAAGCTATCGTGAAGCCATCCTGGTCGTGAAGCCCTGACCATCAATAGCCATGGTTCCTTGATTCCACTTTGTGATGGAATCATCACCAACACAATTTTATACATATGTATGTTTGTTTGTATGTATGTATGTATGTACGTACGTATGTACGTATGTACGTATGAACGTATGTACGTATGAACGTATGTACGTACGTATGTACGTACGTATGTACGTACGTATGTACGTGTACGTATGTATGTACGTATGTACGTACGTACGTATGTATGTATGTATGTAGGTAGGTAGGTATGTATGTATGTATTGAATATATTAAATATATTAAATTGTAAATCTGATGATTCTTGCAGTGCGCCTTGAACAAAATGTGGGCTCTAGCCCTCTGCGTGTGGGGGAAGACACATGTGCAGCATCAGCAAAAGGCGCTGGCTGCTGCTTTGTTTGTCTGCAGTGGTAGGCGGAGCTGGGGAAAGATCCTGGCGACCGAGTTGCTGCAATGGAGTTTCCTGTGCCACCGTCTTCACAAGGCAGTGAAGACGCACAGGGCAGAAGTGATGCAGGCCAGGGCAGGCCATCGATGACTAGAGGTGAAAATGAGATAGGGTCACTCAGGGCCGGGAGACCAAATAGCCAGGCCGATGAGGTCGAAGACGAAGATGATGGCTTCGACAGCGAGGAGTTCCGAGAATGGATGAGGAGCCGTAAGATCGGCGACGACGCCAAGGTAGCAGTGATGGTTCCGACAGGGACCAGGATAGTGAAAGGACCAATGCAAGTCCAGCACCGGAATGGGACGGTGAGTCAGTGCCTTTCCAGGACTATGTCATAAAGGCACGGCTCTGGTTGGCAACCACGAAGAGCAAACCCCGCACGAGAGGGCCACTACTCTTGTCAAAGCTCACCAAGGTCCCATTTGAAACCATGAAGTACCAGGCAAAGGATGTTAGCTGGATGCAGAGCGATACCAACGGCGACGACCTCATCAACAAGAGGAGAACTTCGGTGATGATCGTGATGAGGACTTACTGAGTGCTCTGGCAAAGGTAACATACCATGTCAGGCATGAGAAAAACGAGGCCCATCGGGCATTCTTCAACAGGTGGGAAACGTCCCTCCGGAAGGTGGTGGAACATCGTGTCCAACTACCAGACCGCTACACTGGGTTCCTGCTGATTCAGGCACTTTGCCTGTCACAGGAGGAGATCACGCCGCTCCTCAACTACACGAGGGGGAGCATCCTGCCTCAGGACATCAAGGACTGGGTCAGGAAGCATGAAACGAAACTTCAGGTGTCCCAGGTTGGCATCGAGAAGAAGCAACCCAGTTCGAGTAGCACCAAAGGGGGCAACACCTACCGGCTGAACGAGGAGGAGACCGACAACGAGGACGAGGAGATCCACGCCCTGGAGTGATCTACATGATGGAGATTCCCAAGGTGATCCAACTGGTGGACCCGAAGATGAAGGAGATGTTCTTGAAGAACATGAAGCAGCCGAGGTCTTGAACACCATGTTAGTGAAGAAGCGAAGCTTCGTTCAGACCCAAAAGGCCAAGAAGGCGAAAGAGCTTGGCCGAGGGCACCACCAGCCTGCGAAGGGTCGCGGAAAGACCTTTTCTTCTACGTCGACCGGACGTCAGCCCTTCAAAACCGGGCACTACAAGATGACCATTGAGGAGGTCAAGAAGGTGACTCGCAGTGGACACTGTCATCGAGTTGGTCACTGGCACCGGGAGTGCCCTGATCTGCAGAAGGGCAACCACGAGAAGGAGCAGCACTTTTTGGAGGAGGCCACGTTTTGTGGACTACTTGAACGTGAAGAACGAGCGACTTTGAGCCCAATGACCGCAGCTGCTGATCCTGGACTACAACAACCTGAAGGAGAACTGAGAGGCTTGAATAGCAAATCACACGAGACAGGGACCAATAGAGCCACCGGAACTTCTGAGACTGGTAGCTTAAGATCGGCAGTTGATTTTGAACCCAAAACAGGTCAGCCCGTGTCCACGTATAATGACCGACGGGTTGATGATGACTGGGAGGTTTTTCTTCGGGAAACGGGGTCACATACCTTTCAAGGTTCCATAGGCAACCCTAGACTTGACCACGGGAACCAAAATAGCCCCGAAGAAGCATGTGCCACTGTTGATACTGGATGCCAAAGGATGGCCATTGGGGTGGAGACCTTGAGGAAGCTGGCCCAACATCTCCCATGTGAATTACCTGTTCGTCTTCAACATCAAGAGCATCGTTTTCGATCGGCTCATGGAAGATCAGTAACCAAGCAGGTGGCCATGATCCCCACAGGACTTGGGAAAAAGGGTAGTGTTCTCAAACCAGCAGTTTTTGAAAATGATGAGAGTAAACATGCCCCATTTTTGATATCATTATCCTTTTTGATGTTTTGTCGAGCGGTGATTTTTTAGACCCCCAACAAGTTTTGAAAATCCATTTTCGTCGTTTCAACTTTTCGGTTTCATGTCATGTTGGCCCCACTGGTGCCTTACGTATCCCATTGTGTCAATTCAGCAAAACCCAATTGGCTCACCTCAGTGAACTTCATGATCAACTCATGAAATCAACTAATGAGTTTGAGGTCCTGAAAACTGAAACTCCGGAGCAGTCAGGGCCCAAGGAACACCACGGCATTCCTGAGACAGAAACGCCTGCCGTGAACCATGATGGGGTCGAACCGCAAGAGATCGCGGGCGAGGGAGGAGGAGAGCCGGGATGCAACAGCAGCCTGGCGTCGAATGCTGGCCAAGGTCTTCGTCGCCCTGTACCAGGTCAGCAGCCTCGCGATCCGTCTACTTTGACCTCAAGCAGAAGGACGTCGAACCGACATCGAGAACTACGGCTTCCCAACAACAAGGACATCGAGAAGGGGAACATCAGCGGCAGCCATGGACGAGTTCGAGGTGATCTCTATGCAGAGCGGACGGACAAGCACGACAAGGCGATCACAAGCACCGAGTCAGGCAAGTTCAGTGGTGGGCCAGGACCTGGTGACGGACATGATCCTGCGGCAGGTGGGACCACCTGTCATGTGCGACCACCAGATGACGACGAAGCTCTTCATCTGTCGAAAGCAGGGTCCAAACTACAAGCGCCTGTTCTGGCGTTGCCCGATGAGCCGAGACCAACAATGCTCGACGTTTGTCTGGTGTCAGATCCAGCCGCCCCTACCTGGACCACTACTTCCAGGAGAACGTGACCGAGCTGGACAATGTGACCGAGGAGTCAAGCCCGAGGACAGAGCGAACGTCCAGTGCCCTTCAGGAGGCTCAGAGAAAATGCAAACACCCAAAGACCAGCAAGAGCGGAACCAACCCCTATCAGAAGAAGGAGGTGTGCACCATCTGCGGCAAGGCACTTCTCCTGGAGAAGACAGCGCTGGGGATCCAGAAGGAGCAGGAGCGGGTCAAACAAAAACAACAGCCCAGCTACCAGGAGTATCTGGAATGGAAAAGATCGGGTGCACTGGAGCCGGGCGGCAACTGGACAGACAATGGCCCAAACCGGGCATCAGGGTCACGTCACCAATAGAAGGTGATGGACCGGAATGCAAAGAGTCGCTGAAGAACAAGGGAGTCAAACATGTGCTGAGCCAGGCAAGACTGGCTTTGAGTGAAACCGCTGAAATGTGGCAGAACCTTATTACCCATGTTCAGCCAAGTGCCAAGGAAGCACAACAGCAACTGGAGGAATTTTCCGGTCAAATCTTTAATGCACAGAAGACTGGCAAGGTCTCGGATAGACGCCAGCTGAAAGAACTTGCGAGCCTCATGGGCGTGTCAAAGAAGAAAGCTCGACTAGTGGCAGAGGTTTTTAACCCCAACCGTTTTGGACCACATACTCAGAAACATGGTCTTGATCAGGGACTTGCATTTGAACCGACACTCGGGGATAACTTGCTCAGTAGACAGAAACGACAAAACGTGAGACAGTATCTAGAAACGATGAAACCAGGACTTGTTGTTGTTTCCACACCATGTACCATGCTGAGTCAACTGCAGAACTTGAACATGAAACATTTGGTAGACGAAACGAAATGGCGAGAGTTTGTGAAACGGTTGATTCAGGCCAAGGTTTTGTTAGGTTTCTCATGTGAAAATTGTGACCTTGTTAGATCATATGGTGGT